CTGCTAGATCCAGCTTTGCTCCCACATACATGGGGAGGAATTCAAAAACAGAAATTGTAAAGGAGGTAGGGCAGAAGGAATGGTTGGAAAGTGGGTCTCAGATGCTGGAAGGGTCGTAAGGGAGAAGTTTCTGGTTACATCATGCAGGGCTTCAAACTTCAAAAAATAATAATTGATGGATGGAAGTCAAAGCTAAAGCCAAAGGAAGGCCTACACATGTTCAGAGATTTTGAGTTAGAAATTCTCTTTTTCCAGCTCTCTCTCCCACCCCCAAAAATCACTTGGGGAAAGCAAAGTAGTGATTAAGAAACTACAGGGACAACAGCAGGCTATTCTCTGGGGCCTTCTAAATGCCAAGCCAAGCCTACCGCCTGCTTGGGAGATGAGTATGTGCTCTCCTCCAAAACTTCCTCAAGTCTCCTCTCCTGACAGCTTTCTGCCAGATGGTAGTTCGAATTCTCAAGGTGCTTGGCCCTCCTGGTTCCTACAACGTGAGCCAAGCCCAGAGAACTTTGGTCCATCAGTTTCCCCCTTGCTCCACCCCTCTTGCGAGCAGGACCTGGAACCTGGAGGTCAAGGAGAGGCTAGGAGTACCGACCTATGGCGCTCTGGGAAGGAGCTCCCAGCTTGTCCATGGGTGCCTTTGGGAGAGCATCAGCTCTGGCTAGGAGGGTTTCCGGAGCGCCTTCTCCAGCTGAAGCACGCCTTTTGTCCTTTATGAGGTGAACGCATTATCAGCTCTGACTTGAATTTCCCTGTAGGGTTATCCCAATATTTTAAAATTACAATCCAGACTCTTAACAAATTACGAATGTGTGTAAACATAATCAGAGTGTGGATGCAATCCACTTGTAATTGCTAATAGAAAAAAAGGAAAAGAAAAAAACCCACAAAGACTTAAACAAGCAAGAAAAGCCGCGGGGGGGGGGGGGGGTTGGGGGGCGGGGGGATCAGTTCTGCAGGGTGTTTGCCTTTGTGATTTGCTTCCTAGGGGACTCTCCCAACGCGTCCCGCAGCCCACCCTGCCTCCCGACTCCCTGCGGTGATGTCGGGGCTAGAGGAATCCAGGGCTTGGTCCCTGCAGCTGAGGCCTACGGGATATCCCGGGAAAGAGCAGCCTCTCACGGTGTTGAAGAGTCCCTCAAGCCTTCGCGCTCTGGGGGCCTCCCTCCGCCGATTCTGAGAAAAGCACTGCGGAACGGCGGAAGAGGGCCCTGCTGCTTGCCTCGCGCTCCCCGGGGACCGCGGCTAAGTCCCCGACGCCAATCTTCCCTTTCCCTGAGGACCCTGGGACTCTGCTCCCGAGTTCCAGCTCCAAGGACTCAAGGACACTCTCCGTTCCTCACTCTTCAAAGGCCACCTCCTTTTCTAGAGGTGGGCTCCCCGACCTTGTGCTTCTAGAGCTGCAGGAGCGGCGCTGCACAGGTCTAACAAGCCCGGCACATTGGCAGGTGTTCGAGCTCTCAGTTCGAAAGACATTTGGGGAAAATACTGCACATAGAAATTTATATTATACATTACGTATATTATATAATATTATGTATATAGTCGATAAATTAGCAAATGTGTGCGGTGTTTTTCTTGAAACCGTTAGCATCCTAGTTGGTATTAGTGATATTGGTTGATATTAACACGAATGACAAGTGGGTGATTTTCAAGAAGCGCCCAGTCCCTCTGAGTATCATCGGAGACGTCTGCGTATGCCTCCGGATGCCCATCTATAAACTCTCTTGCTTGTGGCTATTCCTCACTCACCAACCATATTGACCATTCACCCGGATAAGGCAACTTCCTCAGAAGGGCGATCTGAGGACGCTGACCCCCTAAATGGCTGAGGACGCTGGATCTTCAGGGCGAACATCGTGTCTTGGGGATGCCAAAAGTCCCCAGCCCTTACCCAGACCTTTATTACGTGGGGCAATTCGGTCTGTGTAGGGGACAAACAGCAACGTTAAAACGCAAGTGTGTAAATGAGGATGGAGAATGCGAAAGGAGGGAGAGGCAAGGAGCTGCTCCAATTCTAGGGAGGTTTTGGGGAGGCTGAACCGCTCCAAGGACAAACCGCTGGGAAGGGAGAAACGGCCCACATCGAACTGCCCGGTGGAAACCTCTCTGCGCTATTAAATTGCGTCCAGTACAGCAGATGGCACGAGCACGTGCGGCGCTCAGCTTAGGCTCTCGGAGGCAGCTGAGTTGGAAATTCCGACGGAAGGCACCCACACACTCCCACTCTGCGCTGGCCCACCCGCGTGCACTCCCACCCCCCACGCGCGTCGGTTTCACCCTAGCTCAGAAGCGCACAGATGTTTACAGCTTAGAGTCGGTACCGCTGGGGAGATCGAGCGACGTGCGCGGCGCACAGTGCGGCGCTGGCAGGGCTCTGGGCTCCCGGTCGGGGGTTCGAGCGGCCCAGGGATGGGAGTGGGGGTGGGGAGACTGGGGGGAGGGAGAAGGACTGCAGAAAGGAGGGGGGAGTAGGTGGACTAATGATGAAAAAGTCTCCTCCATCCCTGCTCCTTAATTAAATGCATGGAAAGAACCGAGGCGAGCACATCTGGTTTCAATCTGCAGCCCTTTGATGGCATCAAATGTTCTTTTCCCAGATCAGGGCTGGAAGTTCTGGGCTAACTATGGCCGTTTGGAGCCCAGAAACCATTTACACACACTCGTACCCTTCTTTCTCTCCAGTCAAGCCTCTTGGCTATAGGACGAAAAAAAAAAAAAAAGTCTAGCAATCAAGGGAGTGCGGGAGTACGGATGCATGTGTGTGTGTGCGCGCGCGTTTAAAGAACATAAAACGCCACAAATAAGCACTTAATATTTTACTTAGTCGTCATATAGTAACTCATTTCTAATGAGACTGTTAAAGCTGTTACCAAATTCCAACAGGTCATGAAAAAACTGCTCAGCACCTCTCTGTCTTCTGTCAAGTTAGGGCTCCGCAGACGGACGACAGAGGATTATCCGTAAACTTAAATGGGGGTTCCTCCGCCCCTCTCTGTCCTCCCGCCACCACAGCCAGGCCGGACGCAGAACCGCACGGAAGCCTCCCCCACTCCCGCCTATGTGAGTGCTCCTGCCTGCTCCAAGGAATCTGGGCAGCGGGACCCTCTAGGTTTAGCGTCCTCGCCTGGGGAAGCAACCTTGGCCGTACCATAGAAGTTACAAAATTGGCAGGGGGTAGGGAGAAATATTATAACATATTTTTGGAGTCCTTTCCTCCAGCTTAATAAACACGTACATTTCTCATTGCCCTAGCCCTGGTATTCCTAATGGCTGGGAAAGCCTCAAATAAACTCGGTGCCCTCTAGATCTCCCCAACCTGCCTTCAGTCCTTGCGAGAGGCGTAAGAGAGCTTCCCATTAGCATCCCTCTTGTTATTTTATTACATTATTTAATAGGCTCCCTCTACGGAACCAAAAATAGCCTTAATATGCTTACTTTCTCCCTGTACTCCCCCCTCCCCCGAAAACTGTTAGAACAGCAGAAAATGTGTGTGTGTGTGTGTGTGTGTGTGTGTGTGTGTGTGTGTGTGTGTTTTAAAGGTGGTGGGGGAAGGCAGAAGGAGAAGAAAATTTGATTGTGATGGTGGTGGATTTTTTCCAAATTTCCCCACAGCTGTTATCAAAACATGCAAATGAGATTTTCCAACAGGATCTTAAACAAATCTGGAGGAGTTAATGCCGAAGCAAAATAATCCTCAAGTTTGAAGTGACTGTGAGTTTCAGTTTGTCTTTTCTCCCGTGATATTATTGCAGGGGAATGATAATTAGACCTTTAGAAATCCAAAGGGGCTCTCTTGCTCTCTTCCCTCTCTCATTTCTCTTCTCTCGTTCTCTCTCTCTCTCTCTCTCCTTCCCTCTCTCTCTCCCTCCCTCCCTTCCTCTCTCCCTCCCTCTCTCTTGTTCCCTCCCTCTCCCTTTCTCTCTAACTCTGATGTTGGCAAAGGGGGTTTTCTTAATCAGACTGTTTTTTGGTCCCAGGGAAAGGAGGAAGAAGGAGATTGTGATGGAGAAAGGGGGTCTGTGAAACGTCAGGCACCGCACAAAGGCTTTGCCACGTAATTACAGGCTCCTATTAAGTCGAGATCTGCCCTCCCAGGGGTCTCCAATTTTCTTGTATTCCCTACAAAGCCTCCTCTGCATGCCAGTTTGTGCCTTTTGAAGTGCCAGAGAGCTTCTTGATCCAACTGAGAAGGAAAAAGGAGCCCAGCAAGAAGAGGGGGAGAGAGAAGGGAAAGGGGGGAACCCAACAGCACCCTCCTTCGGACTCTTGAAGCCTTTTTTTTTTAATTCTTAATTTTTTTTTTTTTTTTTTTTTTTTTTTTTTTACTCCTTACAAAAAGTAAAGTGAGAATCCTGCTCTCTAATACATCTGCAAGACATCACCCTCTCCTCCTGAAACTTTAGTCACTCCTGAGAATCCACAGGAGTGCAGAGAGGGGGGAACACGTTTTCTTGAAGATGTTTTAAAGCTGGAACAAGCCTTCTTCTGTTGGTGCTTGAACTCTTGCCTGGGAATAACTTTTTTAACCTTTGAAAAAAACCCTTCACTTTGATTCTTCTCTCCCACCCCTTCTTCTCTCTTCTTCTGTTTGCCTAACTCCCCCGCCCTGCTGGCCTCCGCTTTCCTTTCTCCCCCTTATTATTATTTTTAGTCTGTGCGTGTGGACACTTTTGGAGAGTTGGAAGGGATTTTTTTCTCCTGACTTGAACATAGGGTGACTTTTTAATATTGTATTTTAGTGTGGATTATCTCTTTGGACCGCCCCGGACTTGGCCTCAGGAAAGCAACCAAGGCTGTGGAAGGCGGCTAGTGCAGAACGCTCTGCTCTACAGAAGGGGGTCCCCCGCCCTCTTTTCCACTTTTTTTTTTTTTGTTGTGGTGAAGTGTTGCGGAGTCGTTCCCCAGCACCCAGGCTAGAGGTGCCTACTGGCCTGGCCTACCCTGGAAGACCACAGTCTCCTCTTTTGCCTTGCCACTTTCTTTTTTTTTTTTTTTTGGCCTTCCTCTCCTTCCCTCCCTCTTCCTCTCCTCTCTCTCTCTCTCTCTCTGTCTCTCTCTCTCTCTCCACTACCCCCCTCTTTCTTCCCCACTCGGCTCCTCTCCCCCCTTGCGCCCACAGCGTTTGGTGTTGATTCGAGCGGGAAGAGAGGGGGGTGGGTGGGATCGGTGGGGGAGACCATGACCTCCAGCTACGGGCACGTTCTGGAGCGGCAACCGGCGCTGGGCGGCCGCTTGGACAGCCCGGGCAACCTCGACACTCTGCAGGCGAAAAAGAACTTCTCCGTCAGTCACCTGCTAGACCTGGAGGAAGCCGGGGACATGGTGGCGGCACAGGCGGACGAGAACGTGGGTGAGGCTGGCCGGAGCCTGCTGGAGTCGCCGGGACTCACCAGCGGCAGCGACACCCCGCAGCAGGACAGTGAGTGAGGGGCGCATGCCCACGGGGGTGTGTGCCCGGGACAGAGGGCGGGGACCGGTGTAGGGCAGCGAGAGCTCCTCCGCGGCCAGAAAGACTAGGTCCTGGGACCAGGATAGGTGGTGGCAGACTTCAAAAGAAGGGCCAGTTACAGGGGAAACCAGATGAGAAAAGCGGGTCTCGGTCGAGGGCATAGCCAAGGAGGACGCTGGAGAGAGGCTCCAAGGTCCGGGGACACTCCGAGGCCCTGCGGTCTTAGGCAGGGACTCTGTCCGCCGCGGACTCTCTTTACTTTGGTCAGGCACCGGCTCGGTTCATCCCGCACGCGGGGCGCGGGACTGGGATGGGAAAAGGTCTTAGCGGAGTGCAAACTCAGAGAGCCAGCGCTGTTTGGGAAAGCAGCGGGTTAAAGATGCTGAGTCGGGTTCTAAGGGCTTCTCTCAGGCAGCGTATGACGGCTTGTGGGAGGGCACCAGGCACAGGGAGCAGGACTTGACACTCCACGCGGGCACCGTAAGGCCGGGCGCGACTTGGAGGCCGCGAGAGAACGCCCGGCCCGAGACACTGGAGCTGCTCTCTGCCCCCTGCTGTTGCCTCTACAGCAAATGGGTTTGAGACTGGCAGAGTCAAAAGCCCGGCTGCCTCTGAAAAACTCAGGCCAAGCAAAGGGAATGTCCTTTACGGGTGAAACCTGAAATCCAGCCCTGCATGATCCCGCACAGGCGAGCTGCATCTGGGAGGCGCGGGCTTCAGTGCGGAGGTCAGAGTCACTTTAGAGGAGCTCTCCCTATTGGCTCTTAAACGTCCAAAAAAGTCTAGTTTCCCTTCCCCATACTCACTGACCAACCTCGCGCCCCATGAAAATCTCGCTTCGCTAGTGCCTTAAAAAGAGACTGCAAATGTATCCCCATGTCCCCAAGCCTGTAACAGACCGGTCACCCTGTTCATCCCAGGTGACATGTGGCCAGATATGTACAGATACTCCCTCTTCTTCTCGAGGTTGCAAGAGTGTGAACTTAGCTGTAAGTCCTCAAATGAGGCTGTTCACTTTCTATGTCAGTAGTTGCTGGTTACCATTTTGTCTTCAAATTTGGAAACCTGGGAACCAGGGGACCCGCCAGCATTCTATGATTTTCACAAAACATTGTCTATTTCAGACTCTCAAAGAATAGACATACAAGTCAAACTGGACATAGAAACAACTGGAAACAGGGCCAGGGCACAGTGGTGGCCCAGCGGGCCACGCTAAAGCAAGCGGCAGAGAGAGCCTCTGGTGTGCTGAGGGCGCGCGGTCTTTACCCTGCTTCCTTAATTCCGGCCTGGGCGCCCCTGGGTGTTTTTAGCCAAAATAGGCCTAGGGCCGATCCACCTAATGTACTAGCAGACTGCTACAGGAGCTGAATGAGGAAGTCTGGCCTGGACACCAGAGAAAGGTGGCCAACTCTGAGGAATGAAGAACCAGGTGTCCCCAAGTTGCGCATAAAGAGCTAGGCGCAGAGACAGAGACGTTCTATGTAGGGTTTGGGTTCTTAAGAGGCTGCTTCTGCTGCCGGCACCCGCAGCCTTACTTCAGTGTTTGCATAGGCACTCTTAGTTCTAACAAAATGCACTGAGAAATACTATGATTGTTTTTAAACGTTTTACTAGGGAAAATGAAAAATGAAAAAAGTAGAGAGAGTCCAGGCGCGGTAGCTCACACCTGTAATCCCAGCACTTTGGGACCCCGAGGTGGGCAGATCACAAGGTCAGGAGTTTGAGACCAGTCTGATCAACGAGGTGAAGCCCCCTCTCCTAAAAATACAAAAATTAGGCGGGTGTAGTGCCGCGCTCCTGTAATCCCAGTTACTCAGCAGGTAGAGGCAGGAAAATCGCTTGAACCCGGGAAGCGGAGGTTGCAGTGAGCTGAGATAGTGCCACTGCACTCCAGCCTGGATGAAAGAGTGAGACTCAGTCTCAAAAAAAAAAAAAAAAAAAAAACGTAGGGAGAACAGCATTCGGTGTAGACCCCAGCTTCACCAATTCTGCACGTCTGGTCGTTTCTGTTTTGCCAGGACGACTTATTAATTGCGACATTTACCACTGTTCCGATACTAGAGGCTGGACCCACAACAGAAAACAGGAACACGAAGAAAATTCTGCTTAGAAGATCAGAGTGGAGCAGGAGAGACTAGATGCTGCTTTGCCCTATGAGGAGGCTGGAGGATGAGAAAACCATGGCCAAGGCCAGCAGCCTCGGCCAGCCTGGGGAACAAGCCAGCTGTGGTGGCCCTCAGATACTGCAGGGGAAGAGGGATGCAAATTGTACAGGTTGTTTGGCTCTGAGTGGACGCCACTCCTGAGAAGGGAACACGGGATTCATCGTGTCCTTAGAGTGGGTATGGAGAGGGGCTGGCCTGGCCCGAGGAAGCCAGCTATGGAGGCCACCCAGCAGATTAGGGAGGCGAAGCGCTGTGGCTGGGAGGCCGCCCTGGACTGGGGACTGGCTTCTGTGAGACCTGAGCCTGGCGCCTCAGAGGCCCTGTGGAGCACGTGGGCGTCCTCAGGGGCGCTCGAGGACAAGCTCAGCATCACGGGTGGAGTTGGGGACTGTATGTTCCGGGAGAAGGGAAGAAGTCTCTAGAAACTCGCCCACGTGATACTCGGGAGCATCTCAGAGTTACAATGACTAGAGAGGTCTTGTTGGGAGAAGACCCCGAAAGGAAACTGAGGTTCAGAAAGAGGATGCTCTGCGGAAGGGTGATCAAGAGACAGCTTCGGGAGGAGGCCGCAGAAGGCAGAGGGAGGTGATGGGGACGAAGTGACAGGCACCTGGAGCTAGGAAAGTAGCTGAGAACCCCCCCACAGACACACACACAAACACACACACACACACACACACACACACACACATACACCCCAGGCCTTGCTTCCTAGAGAGATGAGGGTAGTGTTCTAACGAATAGTTTGTTGCTTTTATAAGCACTTTTCTCAACCTCTTTTTTCTCCGCTGGGATAAGAATGGGAGGGCCTGATGAGTCTTATGGCTTCCAGGGGAACCCGCATCCCTAGTTCTTGGGCTCCCATCAAGAGTTGCCAAGAAGGCTGTTGTGATCTACTTGGAAATCAGGACCGCTGGGCCTCCAGCCTGCAGTGACAATGAGACTCAGACTGTGAATCAGGGAAGAGGGGAGTGTCAGGGGAAAGGATGGCTAGAGCAGACTCTCCCCCACCCCCAAAGGGACTCAGGGATGGAACCGGGAGTCTAGCGCTCTTTGTATCCCGCTGAAAGTCTACTCCAGTGGGAAACGATTGTCTCCTTCGGAGAGATGGGGAACATTAAAAAGAAGCCTTTGACTCTTTTAGCTATATAGAAACAGTCCTTGTCCTTTTCTAAATTTTCTCTTCAGCTGAAATTAGCAAAACAAACTCCACTTTCACCTTCAATATTAGGTTCTTAATTTTGCAAAATTCCTAACTACAACGAGGGCCGAATATAGTTAGAAGAAGTAGGTATTGTCTAAAGTCAGGGCTTCTCCCAGACCCTCCCCACCCCATCACCATCAGCAATTCTGTCCCCACCCCCACCTTGGTGGACATTCACTACACTGTCCTCTCTGTAGAGTGCTTTCTTTCCCTTTTTACTGAGTCTCTTACTAGTAAATTCTCAACTTCTGGGCTCAAATACACTAAGTGTCCAAAGAAATAGTTCTTTAACATTGTTTGGAATCCAGTGGCTATTGGGAGAGTGTGGAGTGTGAATGGGGGTGGTGGCAGAACTTGGGTAATCAGGGAGAGGAAAGAGGAACAGGTCATTAAAATAAGCAGACACACTCCAATGAAGACAGTGAATCCCGCTGTCATTTCTTAATCTCAACTTCTGCAAACTCTTTTAAAAAAAATGCGCCTGCCTTCCACGTTTCCAACCTCTAAATTAGTGAAACCAGATTGTCCTAATAAGACCTTTTGTTGGAAACACATGTAGTCATAAAAAGGTAGACGGAAAGTCAATTAGACACGCGCGCACACACGCACACATTCACAAGCCGGTGCTAAGTGTGCACCCGGCGCAGCTGGTTCCCGGGCCGCGGCGGGATGCAAATGCAAAACAGCGACGCGGGAAATCGATTTGTCACAAAGGGAGAGGTGTAAACGCAGCGCAAAGGAATTGCCTGCCCAATCTACCAGCCGCACTCTCCCAGGACCTTGCCCCGCCAACTTCTCTTCGCCAGAGAAACTCCCAGGAGAGCGGGAACATTTTCTAGGGCGCTCCCAAGTTGGAATTCGCATCACAGTAGTATCAACTTCTAGAGTCTCAGCGTTTGCAACAACCCTGGCGCCAGAAATTTTCTTATGCAGCACCATCCTGGGACTCGGGAGCCAGTGCTGGCAGTCTAAATTTGGGCTTCAATTATCTCGTTGAAGAGGGGAGCCAATGAAATATATCGTTTTAAGGTTAGCCTGGAAACTTTTCTCTTTAGTGGAGGAGAAATACAGGATTAAGGTGCCTCACTGAGTCCCGAAAGTCGAATGTCAAGGCCGGTCAATAGGTGGTGATTTCGGTTTATTTTACACGCAAACGTAGGGGCCCGGGTGACCTTCTTCTCTTAGAATTTTGGGGAAATTGATAGTCCAGGGACTTCTTACCCACTTTTGGGTGAAAGACGACTTGGAATTTGAAGTGTGGGGAGATAGGCCTGTAAAGTCCGAAGCCTTAGGCTTCCAGTCCTCTCTGGGGCTTCAGATCCCCCAACTCTGGAATGCAGTGAATTCCCACCCCCACGCTTCAGAGCACCTCTCCCGTGCGTTAGGACGTCGTGCAGTCCTGCATTTTGGCTGAGAGACCTAACTTCGGTGCGCGCTCAGTTCAGAGCGCCAGGGAGTTAGGCAAACAGGAATGGGTCACACGGGTCCCTATAGTTCCTTCCTCTTCCCAGGAGTGTCATTTTAGATTTTACAACACGAGCGAATAAGTCATCTCCAAACCAACAAGATGTCACCTTCAAGCTCCCAGTTGAAAAAAAAAA